CTCAAATTTGAAAGAAAGCTTTGATGAGCACAGCAATCTTAGTTGGCAATTATTTTCTTTTAGAGCTTGCAATATCTCATTCCAGGCTCTCATTCATTTTAGCATCTGAATTGGGAAGTCAGAAGAGAGATTTATTGGTTTCTTTTAAATGTGACCTGATATTTCTCTCCTGTCCCTTTTAATAGTTTTTCCTAACTTTCTATGTTTGGCATTTTGATTATGATGTGTCTTGAAGAGCTTCTCGTCTGATTTGGTCCATTTAGGATCCTGTATACCTCCAGTACATTGATGTCTATCTCATTTCTGATACTGGAAAAGTTTTCTTTTACTCTATCATTGAAAATGTTCTTGATGTTGTTAATGATTTTAGCTTATATCCCAATTATTCTCAAGTTGGGTCTCTTGATATTATCACAAAATTCTTGTATATTTTGGTCAATTTCTATTAATTTTTCCCTTTACTGCATACTATGTGTTCAACTTCATGTACCCTGTCTTCAAGGCCTGAGGTTCTATATTCTATGCAGTGTAATCTGTTGGTGATGATTACAAGTTTTTAATTTGACTGTGTTTTTCATTTCCAGGAATTCTGATTGGTTTGTCTTTAATATTTCTATTTCTTTACTGAAATGGTCTTTCATTTCCTGCATTGCTTTCTTAATTAATTCATTAGCTCTTCTTTTATTTCACTAAACGTTTTTTAAGTTTTTTTTAACGTTAATTTTATTTTTGTTTTCTTTTTATATGGTGTGGGGGATCGAACCTAGCGCCTTGCTGCGCGAGCGCTCTACCACTGAGCCCCAGCCCCAGCCAAATTTCACTGAACATTTTAATAATCAGTTTTTACTGGGCACAATGGAGCATGCCTATAATCCAATTGGCTCAGGAAACTCAGGCAGGATGGACACAAGTTCAAAGCCAGACTCAGCAACTTCGCAAAGCCCTAAGCAATTTATTAAGACCATGTCTCAAGATGAAAAGTAAAAAAGGGCTAGGGTTGTATCCAGGGATCACTGGGATCAATCCCTGGTACCAACAACAACAACAAAAAATCTGTTTTTAAATAACCTTTCTCTGGAATTTTATCCCTTTCATATCTGGGATCCTTTGTTAGGGGATTATAAATTTGGGAGTGGGGTGAAATTTGTTTGCCTGTTTTCTCATGTTTTCAAAAGTCCTGAACTTGTGCATCAATTGAAATGGATTCACCTTTCTCTTTTGTATGTATGTCCTTTTGTGTGTAGTTACTGTCTCTTCTGGGATCTCTTTCAATTTTTGATATATGAGTAGATGTAAAGGGGTGGAACATGAGTCACCCTCTGGTTATTGGTTTGGGAGTTTTATCTCCCCAATTCTATGAGTTGAAGTAATGTCAGGGCTCAGGTGGGTCTAGATCATGTGTGGGGTGAGATTCACTTTTGCTTGGCTGAGTTGTGAGGATTTCTCGGCATCAGGATCACTACTCTGTGATCTCAAAGTGTCCCAATCATTTTCCAGCCCCTTTTAGGGGAAAGGGGGAGCCAGGGACAGCCCTAATGTCAGCAACAGATGTACAGTGCTAATATAAATATTCAGTGTCTACTTTGAAATCTATAACACTAATTGCCATCTATATAGGAATGATGGGATTAGCATTTAACATCAGTACCAACTATAAATAACTGTGAATTAGACTGGACATTTAACAGTAGGTGTCTACTATGTCATCCACTGTATTTATAATCACAACAGAAATGGAGTAGGAAATATATAAACTGCATAATTCTGTTATTTAGTGGGATTTCGGCTCTTTTTTTGGTATAAGGGGTTGAACTCAGGGGCACTTGACCACTGAGACACATCCCCGCCCTATTTTGTACTTTATTTAGAGGCAGGGTCTCATTGAGTTGCTTAGGGCCTTTTTTTTTTTTTTTTTTTTTTTTTTGTGGTGCTGGGGATTGAACCCAGGGCCTTATACATGCAAGGCAAGCACTCTACCAACTGAACTATATCCCCAGCCCTACTTAGGGCCTCACTAAGTTGCTAAGACTGGCTTTGAACTGGTGATCCAGCTGCCTCAGCTGCCTCAGCCGCCTCAGCCGCCTCAGCCTCCTGAGCTGCTGGGATTACAGGGGTACACCACCACACCCAGTGATTTCTACTTTTTAAGTAAGAGAAAATCAGGAAGATGAAAGAAAGTTTGAGATACTTAAGAAATTGTTCTTAGGAGAGGCAGGCGATACCAGATGTCAACTGTAAAGAGGGATAAAAATTAACTACAACTAAAGAATGAAGGAAAGAAAGCAAGAAGGAACAAGAAAATGTGCCTATTAGAGAAAAAAGTAAAAAACGGGAGATAGGAGGGACAGGAACCAAGGTATGAACCTACAAATGTAAGATCAAAACAACTCAAATTCTCATATAATTATACCCCACTGATTCAAATAAGACTAAATTATATGCAAATGCTATTAATGTGAAGGTAAAAATTATATGAATGTATACTTATTTTTTCAAGCCTATTTTCTCACTATTTTTCAGTGAGAACACACATATACACATACAAAAAATCATGTATGATCAAAAAAAGTAAAAAATAATACACTGATGAAATCATGCTTGAAAAATTTTAGGTTAAAATTTAAAAAGAGAATTAAAAATTTAAAAATGTGAATATAGATAAGAAAGAAAGATAAAAGAAAAAACAGAAATATCTTGGTAAGAAATAAAGGGCCTGTTTCTGTTTTGGTGGTCAAAATTATTGGCAGGAATGGATTTTCATTCTCTATGTTTGTTTTTGGCTTTGTAACCGTTGGATCAAGAGCTGGGGGTTATTAAATCACACGTCTTTGTGTTCCTCACCTAGCTGCTAGCCAAGTGTAGTAGCTCTCAGCTTCCAATCTCCCAGTACAGAATAGGATAGACTATGTAATATTGGTGGATTGTGTAATACCATAGTGGGGGTAAAGCAGAGTTCTAAATATGACGTTCCAGTATTTGGGGTTTAATGTTGGGTGAATTTTGGAACTCTGTTGGTAGATATTTGGGATTTGGTTCACACCCCCTATTACTGGAGAAATGCCAGACTCTGCTGGATGTCTAGATCACTGAGGCCTCTGGTAAAATCCACTTTTCTGGTATAGGGACTAACTTTCCACAGGTTTTACCTTGGCCACTGTGAATGTGAGTTAACGCATATATGCCCTAGAATGCAAACACTCCTGGGTGACTGCTATAAGGTGGATTCCCGATAGCTCTTATGGGGTGCCTGCCACAAAGATTTAGTGTTCTCCTCTTTGTATTTGGAGCTTGTATAATGTTTTGTGGCTATTTCAGTCACTCTGAATCAGGCACACTCTGCAGGTGGTAAAATGCTGGCAACTTCCTTTACATCAATCATCCTGATTTGTCTCTGCTGGCTGCCCCAGTGTTTACAGATAGTTCCCAGGCTGCACCTGCCAGGAATCTCAGTTCAAAATCCCTGCTCCAGGAATCTGAGCAATTTTGGGTTGGTTTCATTCAACTCGTTTCCCTACTGACTCTGTGTTCATTAAAATCAGCCTCCCGGGCTGAGGTTATACCTCAGTGGTAGAGCACTTGCCTAGCATGTGTGAGGCACTGGGTTGGATCCTCAGTACCACATAATTTTATTTATTTAATTTATTATATTTAAGGTATTGTATCCGTCTACAACTAAAAATATATATGTTTGTGTGTATGAAAAATCAGCCTCTCTCTCTAATCCACGAGTTCCCCGAAGTTAAAAAAAAAAAAAAAATGTTTATAAATTCTCTGCCTATGCTTCTCCCCTTGCCTCAGTGGCTACTGCAGCTACCAGCCATGCTCTCTCATCTATAACATATATTCTTTTTTTCGGGGGGCGGAGGCGGTACCAGGGATTGAACTCAGGGGCACTCTACCACTGAGCCACATCCAAGCCCTATTTTGTATTTTATTTAGAGACAGGATCTCACTGAGTTGCTTAGCGCCTCACAGTTGCTGAGGCTGGCTTTGAACTCACGATCCTCCTGCCTCAGCCTCCCAAGCCACTAGGATTACAGGTGTGTGCCACCGTGCCTGGCTTTCAAAGAGAATTATTTTGTGAATAATTATACATTCAAAATTTGATAATTTAAAAGAAATGGACTAATTCTTCAAAGCCTATATACTATCAAACTTGATCAGTTCAAAGAGCTTAGGTAAACCAGGTGCAGTGGTACGTGCCCGCAATCCCAGAGACTCGGGAGACTAAGGCAGGGGGATTGCGAGTTCAAAGTCAGCCTCAGCAACTTAGTGAGGTCCTGTGCAACTTAGTAAACCTGTCTCAAAATAAAACATAAAAAGAGCTGGGGATGTAGCTCAGTGACAAAGCCCTCTGGTTTAAATCCCCAATCCCCAATACTCAAAAAAAAAAAAAGAACTAAGGGAAACCATGTTTAATGAACCAAAGGAAAGTATGAAAACCATGTGTAATTAATGTCCCCCAAAAGCTCATGTGTGAGATAATACAAGAAAGTTTAGAGGTGAAATGATTGGGTGAGGAGAACCTTAACCTAATTAGTGCATTAATCCATTTAAATTGATTAACTGGGTGGTGTCTATAGATACATAAGGTGTCAGTGGAGGAGGTAGGTTACTGAGGGCATGCCTTTAGGGTACACATTTTGTTCCTGGTGAGAGAAGTGCTGTTTACAGGTGGCTAGGGCCTAGGCTGCTTTCCTCTGCCACACCTTTCCACCATGCTGTTCTATCTCACCTTGGGGCCAGCACAATGGATTCAATGAATTTAGCCATGAATGGACTGAGACCTCTGAAACCTTGAACCCCAAATAAACTTTTCCCTCCTCTAAAATTGTTCTTGTCAGGACTTTTGTTCACAGCAATGAAAAAGCTAACTAGAACACAAATTTGAAGAAAAAAAAAAAAGTAACAGAAGAGCTAAGAAACTTGCCTTTTGAATATAAGAGGCAGAGCTTAAAATGTGCGTTTTGACAGAAAGGCATGGAAAGTTGTCTTCTTACCTTAAATGTGAATTCAAGTTCCCACTGATTTGAGACTTGAGTGAGGTCCCACAACGTTTGGTTGGTCCAGAGATAGAGGTTATCGCAGAAGAGGGGATGTCTCTGAAGAAGGGTTCCCAGAGAGAAGGGGTAACCTGACTCAGGACCACCGAGGTTCTTGGCATATGAGACAGAAAAAAATTTCAGCACACACCAGTCCAAGGCATAGATACAGAATTATTTAGGAAAGTAGATATATATTCAATGGAGAATGGGGACAATCTCAAGATAATGCTACCTTTGGAGTAAAGCAAGGAATACACATTCAAGTGAGAATGCTGGCTATCTCCAATGGGAGAGACAGCAACCCGTTGGTGTAGGGAATTAATATTAATAGAGGGACAGATGCTAGGGACTGAACTAGAGGTAGAGCTAGGATGGAGTTACATAATTTCACGCCAGTTTTCCCTGCACCTGCCCACTGCCTTTATGATACAAAGGAAGGGTCAAGGGTACTTCCTTTTAAATTCAGCATTTCTCCCTTTATTCTCAAACACCCATCTCAAGATGAAAAGGGTATGAGGAAGGGAAAGAGGTCTTTTTCCCCTAATGGTCTCTGGGGTTCAAAAATCCTGTAGTCATTGAACTTCAGATTCCATTACAGTATTGCCCTAGCCAGGAGACTTTCAATTGTCAGTGGGCAAGACCTATCTGCCAAAAAGACTGAAAAGAAAGCCTCAGTTTCTTACCTCTAGGGTCTGGAGGATCTGAGTCTCAATCAAGAGTTTCAGTCCCAGCAGAGTATCTCCAGCCAGAGACTTTCAGTTGTCTTAAAATATCCTTCTAGTCACCACGAATCTAAGGCCTACAATAAAGATCTAGAAAAGTAAATATCAATCTCAGTCACAGCACCAAAATGGTAAAGGAAACTGTGTTGTAATTTTGGCTCTGGTGCTATTGCATAAAAAACTTTCAGGCGTTACATAACGCATAATAAAAGTATACCAAAGATCATTAGAAGGGAAAAAAAACAGACACTCTCAAAGGTAAAAGTGGGTTCTCTCAAAGAAGATACTGATTACATGCCACTTTCCTAGTTTTATTGGGGGCCTTAGGGAAGTTTCTAAAGTGTACCCCCAGGAACCACCTCTCAATTTGCAACTGACAATACGATCACATTAGGTTAATTCCCTACTGCTATTTTACAGTTGGTGGTCTTTGCTTTTAATTATCCTGTCTTCCTGAGTCCTGGAATCTTTGATCGGTGTATAGCTGTAAAGTCCCAGCTTTACAGTAACTTGTGTTGTTCTTATTGGCAGGGAGGCCCTGACAATAGCTCTGCATGTTACTGGGTGAGAAATGCAGCATAGCCTACTGATTAAAGCCAATAAGCTAGGTTAGGTAAATTGCTTTTTTTTTTTCCCCAAAGACAGCATATGGGGGTGGGGGTGGGGGGTACAGTATTCCCCTCCTTTTTCCTATTACTCATGTCTGTTTACTACCTAATAGGTGAAGATGTACTATATGGTGGGCCCATTCCAAACTCATACAGAATTAAAATTCCACTGGCTTTCCCCTAATACCATTGGGGAATATGTGACACACTACTTCTCCTATGACAGCCAAGCAAAGTTCCATACTAACTTAATATGGAAGGAGAAAATCCCAGGGCTCATAGGGAAAGGAGTCCAGAAGGGAAGAGTATTAGTTAGCTTTTGTGTGACTGTGACCAAAATACCCAACAAAAACAACTTACAGCAGGAAAAGTTTATACAGCGATCATGTTTTAAGAGATCGCAGTCCATAAACAGCCAAATCCATTGCTCTGAACCTCAGGTGAGGCAGCATATCGGGGGTAAGGGCCCAGTGGAGGAAAGTTGCTCAGCTCAAAGCACCATCGGGAAACTGGGTGAAGCTAGGAGCACCTGGAGAGAATAAAGCAACAAGCATATCTATATTTTGTGGTAAGTTTCTGTTGGTAAAACACAAAACAAACAAAAAGGAAAACAGAAAAAGCCTTTCCACTCATCAAAGCCAGGCTGGATCATTCCTAAAATCTTCAACAATCATTTCTGGAAGTCCAATCTTACCACTTAGTCTAAACGGAGATACATTCACCACATTTCTTTGTCATGTCACCCCTTTTTATTATCCCTAGAGAGCTAATGCGCATGCTCAACTAGAACGAAAGCGTCCATCACTGCACTACTCCTCAATATGACCCTCCGGGCCTAGGTCTAAGGTCCTACACCCCCCATCTCCGGCCCCGCTCGCTCTCATTCCTCACAGTAAGTCCGGTACCCCGAGGAACAGAAGCCGTTCACGAAATAAGCTCAGGCGGCGAGTTCTAAGGACCACGCCGAATACCGCACAACACTAATAAAACACATCCACACTGCCCAGCAGCCTGGGCCCTCCTGAGGCCGGAACCGCTGCCTTTGAACAGCCGGAACTTCCTGCCGCTGTTATTATGGCTTCCGGGTCGGACTTTAGGAGAGCGCGCCCTCAATAGCAAATGGACTTCCGGGAACCCCTACTGGTTATGTGAAGGGGCACCTGGTCAGACCGCAATTGCTTGATCCTTACCATTTATCTTGCCCCAGTACTTCATTGGGTTACTTTGGTTCTAAAGAGCAGAAATCGTGTGGAAAGGGTACGTAATCACGGACTTTTGTCGTCGTTCAGTTAAACATTGACCGTTAGGTGGCAGTAAAAGACCACTGACGAGCGCCGCTCCGCTCCTACCCCGCCCTTCGTGTTTCAAAAAAAAGGGATTCTTTGCACAAAGTTCCCTATTTAAAGAGGCCCAGTTTTTCGATCACAGATTTCTCATTCCCACTTTTAACTCACTTTTGAGTATCTTTAATTACAAACCTGCTTGTACTTTGTCGCATTTGCAATTTTTTTTTTTTAAATCAAACGCCAAGTCTCCTTCAAGGCTTATTTTAATTCGTTTTGTTATTCATTAAGTGAATCTCATGCTGAATGTACAAGTGTTCATTCAGCACTCAGAAAATATGAATAAGAAGGGAAATTTCGCCCCAACACCCTTCAGCAAAAAGTACCAATCCTACTTCTGTGTAGATATTGCCTTTCACAATCTGGTAGCATAACCATTGAGTATTATTTACATTCGAAGTTGGAATTCTTGCCCAGATCTCCAGGTGTTTCTTGAGACACATTCTACTTAGAGAGTCACAGCTCTTAGGGGCATGCCTTAACACTCAATTTATTACTAGTTTGGGGTACTGGCAAGGGAGTAAGACTTGTTGAAAATAGGTTGTGAAATAATGAAACAGAAAAACAAAGCTTTATGCTCATGGATCTTTTTATTATCCCCTTTCTTAAAATGGAGAACTATAAGAAAATGCTTTGAAATGAGAAAATTGGCCAATATCTGGTTGTATGTCCACGTGGACAGGACACAGTATGTATCATGAGGTCTACTCACAAAGACTCCTTGACCACACTTTGCTCCAGGTTCCCTGAGTGCTTCTATATTAGACCTGCAACTTGGTCTGCCTTTTGCATAAATCAAAGTAATAAGTTTTGAGAAAATCACCCTTCGGAGAGCAATCTATACCTTGCCAGTTACTCCATGATGTATAGAAAAGTAGTTTTCAGGCTCTGCTTAACCCTGAGTACCCTTTTATGAAGGAGTATTTTACCACAAATCTTTATCTGAGCACAAATGCCAAGGTAGAATGACTATTGTTTGTACAAGTAAACAACCACCATTTGCCTGGCACAACCATAAGGCACTTATTCATGCTAATTCATCAAACTAAATCAGGAACACCTTGACACCTGGACCTCCCAAATGATCTGAGAAACACCAGACACAGAGGCTCATCAACCTAATCAGATACAACTCCCTTTGCGAAGACTAATAAATAGGAGGAATTCCTCAAAGACTGGACAAGGCAACACTCTGACCCTGTGACCTGGTCACTCTCAGAGGACTTATCCAGGAAAATTAGTACAGTGACGAACCTCTACTTCCCATCCACCAAGCTTCAGCATAATGCAGATTCTCCTGTCCATGAAGAGAACCCACAGCCCACTTCAAATTGATTCCTCAAGCTGACACTCCAAAGCTGCCTTTTTCAACTCCTCTGCCTTCACAACTCTGTGAAACTGGTTCCTTAAAATCTTTATCTGAGGTGCTGGGGCTGGGGCTCAGCAGTAGAGTGCTCACCTAGCAGTGCCAGGATGGGTTCGATCAAAACACAACATAAAAATTAATTTAAAAAAAAAGTAAAGGTATTGTGTCCAACTACAGTTAAAAAAATATTTTTTAAAAAATCTTTATCTGAACTGGATATGGTGGTGCACATCTATAATCCCACCCCCTTGGGAGGCTGAAGCAGGAGAATCAGGAGTTCAAAGCTAGCCTCAGCAATTTAGCAAGGCCCTAGGCAACTCAGTGAGACCCTGTCTCTAAATAAAATACAAAAATTGGCTGGTGATGTGGCTCAGTGGTTCAGTGCCCCTGAGTTCAATCTCTGTACCAAAAAAAAAAAAAAAAACTTTATCTGAGCACGTACCATAACTCTTTGACTTTTCTCATTCCTGTGTGCTCTCCGCTTGTACCCTTAGCAAACCATCCTGTAACCCTGTAGCCTGTAGCCTCCTTTACCCCTTTTTTGTCCCTTTGTGACATATTTGTATGTGTGTATATACTTGTGTGAAGTATGACGTGTGAATTGAGAGTTATAGTAAGATTGGAATGAAATAAAAGAACTTTTGATTGCTCGGCTTATGACTATCAGGTGAACCAGAAGTAATTGATGAATTTTTTGCTACCAGTGAAAGTGGTGTAGCTTGTCAATTTCAGTAAATTCTGGCATTTTGTAAAGACACAAATGTGTTTGGTTTATGTTTGTTACCAAAAGCTCGCTCCTTCTCCCCAATGCCAATTCATGCCAATTTAATAATGAGGATACAGTTTTGAGAAAAAGGAAAAAGAAGGCTTATTGCTTTGCTAGCAAAGGAAAAACACAGGGGAATCTAGTCCCAGAGGCTATGGTTCTTCCCATCAGGGAAAACAAAGGGCTTTTAAAGAAGCTCTTCAAAAGCTACATGACAGGGGTCCTGGGTGTGCCATTTTGGTGTGTTGGAATTCACTAGTTAATTTGGGAGACAGTCACTTCCTAGTTCTAATGGTGACATCTCCTTCCTGTGGAGAACCAATAACTCCAGGTAATCTTGTTCCCTGCCTCCAGGTTAGGGAGGGGGAGAGGAAGAAGAGAAGAAAATATGTCCCTTTTAAAATAAGCAGCAAGGGTTATGTTCAAAAGGTAAAGTGAACCACTATTACATGGTGATGGTATAGCTTGCTCATGACACCCCCAACCTGATATTTCATCACTCATGATAATTGATGAAGTTTCTCATTGCCCGCCCATGATGGCTTGTCTTTAGAAAAGGTCTTATTAGGACAGTTTAGCAAGACAGCACTGTCTCTTTCTTCCTTCCCTTCAAGAACACTGTTGGGCTGTGGTTTTGGCTTATTGATAGTGTTGTAGGGACAAACGAGGCAAGGCACCGAAGACAGCAGGAAACAGTTTTATTTGGCTGCAGCCAGGTTCAGAGAACACAGCTTTTGCTGTAATCAATCAATCCCCTGAACCCCGAGTTCAGGGAGTTTCAGAGTTTTATACCCAGCATATAAGGGGAGGGGCTCAGAAGTTCACAGTCTGCAGAAGTTCACATAAAAGCAGCTTTTTCTTTCACTGTTCTGGGCATGTTAACTCTTCAAGGACAACACCTGAGAAGGGGAAAGCTTCTTCTCCCCTTTCTTTCCTCCCCCTGCCAGCTGTTACCATGGAGCCCAGTTGTAACTTATCTTAAAAATGTAGACATCTCTCTGAAGCCCAGCTCAAGGCCAGAGACCTTGTTTGCACATTTCTTCAAAGTACTATACTGGATACGTTTGTGAAAACTAGTAAGGGGGTGTCCAGCACCTGGAGTGCGGTGTCTTCTTGGCCAGTGGCCAAGTAAACAGGGTGACATGAAAATAGGAAGTTTATCTACAATGGACTCTTTTGCTGACAGTCCTAAAATCAGACATGGTGAAGAGGGCTTTTCTGTGGAGAAAGGGGGTGCCACTTCAGTAGAGCACTTCTCTAGCATGTGTGAGGCACTGAGTTCAATCCTCAGCACCACAAAAAATAAGTTAATTAATTAAAGGTATTGTGTCTATCTTCAACTAAAAAAAATGTAAAAGAAAAAGCAGTTAAAAAATATTCTCTTCTCCTTCCTTCCCTTCTCCCTTCCTTGTTTCCTTTCATCTTTTTCTCCCCCTTTGCTGCAGTGCGGCTGCAACAAAATAACTGGGGGGGGGGGGGGTGACGAATAACTTGTAAACGTTGATACAGCAGGAGTGGGAGCCCTTTATTGCAGGACAGGAGCAGTATTTATACATTCCACACAGCTTATCTAATTAGCATAAACTAGATACATCAGTCAACCAATAAGGAATCTCCATACTTAATGGCTCGCTTTTGTTACTTCTCAAACCACTCCCTCTGGCATTTTGCCAGGCACCATCCAGACTTGTTTACGAACTCTAACATTCCCTTGGCAAAATGCCAGGTGTTATTTTGACTTGTTTACACACTCTAACACCCCTTTTTTAAAGACAGGGTCTTACTATGTTGCTTGACTAACCTCAAAGACCACTATCCTTGATGTTTTCTTTTAATAATTTAGTAAAAATAATTTTGACTATTTAATAAATTTTAATAAATTTCCTTCACTCTGGTTGTTGGATATAAATTCCCCACAGACTTTCCCTTTTTCAGTGGGCAATCTCTCTTCTCTATTACAATAGAGTTGACCTCCACTGTATAGCATTTTTAAAAAAATTTTTTACAGATTAAATTGTATATGTCTATGGTGTACAAAGTGGTGTTTTGGTACATGTATACATGTAGAATGATTAATCACACTAACATGAATCACCTCATATACTTATGTGTGTTTGTGCATTAATGAGAAACTTTTCTGTTTGGACAAGATTTATTCTGGATTCTGAACTTTCTCCCTAGATGCATCTGTCCACTTCCTTGAATAATAAACTTTTTGCAAAACCCATGCTAAGTCACTTTAGCAAACCACTCCCACTTTGATATGGATCTCTGTTGATCTGATCAGGAACTGATCTTTCAACATTGCTCAAGTAATTCTAATGATCATAGCCTGTCTATAGCAAAAACACTGTTAGATAAACTAATCAGAATCCTCCTAACTCTTTGATGTTTTCTGTTAGCAGGTTTACATCCCATGACCACTGCCCTGCTCCTAAGCCACAAATTTCCACTGTCTAATACTGTATTCAGAGTTGAACCTAAACTCTAATGAACCCAGCAATCTCTTTGCTGATGTCCCTATAACTATGGTTATGCTGCCAGTTTGTAAA